CCCCCCCCCCCCCCTCCCCCCTCCCCCGCCTTACCGGCCTCCATGATGAACCGCGCCCCCCGGAAGTGGCGGCGCGCCTCGGCCCCGCCCCTCTCCTCCGCCATTCGGTGACGTCACGAGCCGCGGCCTACGGCGCCGGGACGGGGCTCTGTAACGCCGCGCAGCGCGCTTCTGACGTCATTCCGCCCGCTCGATCGTCATTTCCGGTGCGCGCGCCCCATGGCGTCGCGCGCTGATGACGTCACGCCCCGCCCCGCCTCACCCCCGCGCTCCCGTTCGCGCCGGCGGCTCCGGCGCCGCTCCGACGCGCGCTTCCGGTGTGGGCGGAGCCTCGTGCGCAGCCGCAGTCTCTCCCCGCGCTCCTATTGGTCCGCCGCGCCGGAAGGGGCGGGGGGCCCGGCGTCACGTGGCGTCGCGGCGCGGGAACGGCGCGCCGAGCTGCCGGGCGCTCTGACCTCTGACCCCTCGCTGACCTCTGACCCCGCGCTATGAGGCGGTCGGACGACGAGGAGGAAGAGCCGCAGGTGGGGGCGGGGCCAGGGGGTCCCTATGGGGCCCCTATGGGGTCTTTATGGGGTCTCTATGGGTCCCTATGAGGTCCTTATGGGGTCCCTATGGGGTCTTTATGGGGTCTGTATGGGTGGATCTCTGTGGGTCCCTATGGGGTCTTTATGGGGTTTCCTATGGGGTCTTCGTGGGGTCTGTATGGGTGGATCTCTGCGGGTTCCTATGGGGTCTTCATGGGGTCTCTATGGGTCCCTATGAGGTCCCTATGGGGTCCCTATGGGGTCTCTGTGGGTTCCTATGGGGTCTTTATGGGGTCCCTATGGGGTTTCTGTGGGGGGATCTTTGCGGGTCCCTATGGGGTCCTTATGGGTTCCTATGAGATCTTTATGGGTTCCTATAGGATCTTTAAGGGGTCTCTATGCTTCCCTATGGGGTCTTTGTGGGGTTCCCTATGGGGTCTCTATGGGTCCCTATGGGGCATTTATGGGGTCTCTATGGGTCCCTATAGGGTCTTTATGGGGTCTCTATGGGTCCCTATGGGGTCTTTGTGGGGCCTGTATGGGTGGATCTCTGGGGGTTCTTATGGGGTCTCATGGGGTTTCTATGGGTCCCTATGGGGTCTTTATGGGGTCCCTATGGGGTCTCTATGGGTCCCTATGGGGTCTTTATGGGGTCTGTATGGGTGGATCTCTGTGGGTTCCTATGGGGTCTTTATGGGGTCCCTATGGGGTTTCTGTGGGGGGATCTTTGCGGGTCTCTATGGGGTCCTTATGGGTCGCTATGAGATCTTTATGGGTTCCTACGGGGTCTTTAAGGGGTCTCTATGGGTCCCTATGGGGTCTTTGTGGGGTTCCCTATGGGGTCTCTATGGATCCCTATGGGGTCTTTAAGGGGTCTCTATGGGTCCCTATGGGGTCTTTGTGGGGTTCCCTATTGGGTCTCTATAGATCCCTATGGGGCCTTTATGGGGTCTCTCTGGGTCCCTATGAGGTCTTTATGGGGTCCCTATGGGGTCTCTGTGGGTCCCTATGGGGTTCCTGTGGGGTGCCTATGTGGTCTCTATGGGTCCCTACAGGGTCTTTATGGGGTCCCTATGGGGCTCTGTGAGTCCCTATGGGTCCCTATGGGGCTCTATGGGGCTCTGTAAGTCCCTATAGGATCCCTATGGGGCTCTATGGGTCCCTATGTGGCCCTATAGAGTCTCTGTGGGTCCCTATGGGTCCCTATGGGTCCCTATGGGGCTCTGTAGGGTCCCTATGGGGCTCTATGGTTCTCTATGGGTCCCTATGGGTCCCTATGGGCCTCTATGGGTCCCTATGGGGCTTTATAGGGTCCCTATGGGTCTCTATGTGGCTCTATAGGGTCTCTATGGGTCTCTATGGGTCCCTATGGGGCTCTGTAGGGTCCCTATGGGTCCCTATGGGGCTCTGTAGGGTCCCTATGGGGATCTATGGGTCTCTATGGGTCCCTATGGGGCTGTATAGGGTCCCTATGGGTCTCTATGGGTCCCTATGGGGCTGTATAGGGTCCCTATGGGTTTCTATCGGTCCCTATGGGGCTCTGTAGGGTCTCTATGGGTCTCTATGGGTCCCTATGGGGCTGTATAGGGTCCCTATGGGTTTCTATGGGTCCCTATGGGGCTCTATGGGGTCCCTATGGGTCCCTATGGGGCTCTGTAGGGTCTCTATGGGTCTCTTTGTGTCCCTGTGGGTCTCTATGGGTCCCTATGGGTCCCTGTGGGTCCCTATGGGGCTCTGTGAGTCCCTATAGGGTCCCTATGGGGTCTCTATGGGTCCCTCTGGGTCCCTATGGGGCTCTGTGAGTCCCTATGGGTCCCTCTGGGTCCCTATGTGGCTCTGTGAGTCCCTATGGGTCCCTATGGGTCCCTCTGGGTCCCTATGGGGCTCTGTGAGTCCCTATGGGTCCCTCTGGGTCCCTATGTGGCTCTGTGAGTCCCTATGGGTCCCTATGGGTCCCTATGGGTCCCTATGGGGCTCTGTGAGTCCCTATGGGGCTCTGTAGGGTCCCTATGGGGCTCTATGGGTCCTTATGGGTCCCTATGGGGCTCTGTGAGTCCCTATGGGGCTCTGTAGGGTCCCTATGGGGCTCTATGGGTCCCTATGGGTCCCTATGGGGCTCTGTGAGTCCCTATAGGGTCCCTATGTGTCCCTATGGGTCCCTATGGGATCCCGCAGCCCCGCGCTCCGTTGTCGCCCCGCAGCCCACAGCGCCCCCGAGCGGCTGGGAGGAGCAGCTGAGCGACAGTTGCAGGTACCGCCCCGCCCCCCCCCACCCCACGACCCCTCCCCACGACCCCCCTCGTGACCCCCCGACCTCTGACCCTTGACCTCTGACCCCAGGCAGACCCACCTCCTCCTCTCGCTGCTGCTGGACGACCCCCGCGGCGCCGCCGCCTTACGGACCCCCCCCCAGCCCCCCCCGCCCCCCCGGGACCTCCTGGAGCTGCCCCTCCCCCCGCGGAGGTGGGTGCGGGACCCCCGGATGGGGCTGCGCTATGGGGCGGTGCTATGGGGCGGTGCTATGGGGCAGTGCTATGGGGCGGTGCTATGGGGCGGTGCTATGGGGTGGTGCTATGGGGCGGTGTTATGGGACAGTGCTATGGGGTTGTTCTATGGGGCTGCGCTATGGGGCGGTGCTATGGGGCGGTGTTATGGGGCAGTGCTATGGGGTTGTTCTATGGGGCCGTGCTATGGGGTGGTGCTATGGGGTTGTTCTATGGGGC